AATAGAACAGGGATGTAACGGTCGGCGATGCGTATGCGAGCCGTACACATGCCAATGACAGGAACAGTGCCGCCATCGGCCACACGTACAGCTTCGGTAGCAGGGGGCGTGAGTACTTTTCTTAAGCGGCGACAAAGATGAACGCTGATTATGGACACATGAGCGCCAGTATCGACTAGTGCCGACAGAGAAATACCGTCCACGTGTACATCGACAAGATTTTTGTTCGTATGAAGCGTCAATGGAGGGTTTGGTTCAGACAGGGATGATGCAGCACTACCTCCAGGGGCTGCACTGTCTAGTTTTCCGTCGGGTACGATGAAAAGTTAGGCGGCGAGTGATGGCGGCGTGGCTGGGGCGACGGGGAACGACGGCGTTGAGGGGACGGAGAACGAGCAGGAAGGCGGCTGTTAGACGTGTCGAAAGCAGGGGCGGTACGGCTGGACGAATACCGGCGAAGATCTTCATATGGGCTATAAGGTGCGAAAAACTGGCTCCTATGTGGCGGCGTGCAGGAGGCACGGCAGTAGCGGGAGACATGTCCAACGCGGTGGCACCGGAAGCAGATCGGTTTGTCGTCAGGAGTTCGCCATTCCGCCGGGTTGCGAGATCGTGGAGCAACAAATGGGTCACGTCGAGGTGCATTAGTGGGAATTGGTCTGGAGGAGGGGCAAGAGATGGGGCAAGCATCAGGGAACCCGCGGTTGGCGAATTCTTGTCGTACGACCGCCTGAATAACGGAGATCGCGGGGGTTGTCGGTATCGTATGTTCGAAAGAAGTGGGCTGAAGCGGCGCTGGACTTGCTGCTTCAAGTTCCCGTCGAACGATACGCGTTACACTCTGCTCAAAGGGCGGTGTGACGGTAGAATCGGAGCAGGTGGACGTAGCCGCCGTGTTTGGCAACTGAGAAAAAGGAGGGCGCACCCGACGGCTTTTTGCTGTTTCGAAACGGCGGCATTCTTGAATTACACGGTCGATGGTCGAGACGTTAGTGTACACCAGCAAATTGAAGGCGTCGTCCGCGATCCCCTTCAAAACGTGTCCAACCTTTTCAGCCTCAGACATCGCCTCGTCCACTTTTCGGCAAAGAGCGAGAACTTCTTGGATGTATGACACATACGATTCAGTTGGCGACTGGACACGGGTAGCCAGCTCCTGTCGTGCAGCTGCGTGGCGACCGGTCGGGTCCCCAAAGATGTCACGTAGCTTCTCCTTGAACGTGTCCCAGCTGGTGAGTTCGGACTCATTTGTCTCGTACCAGACACGCGGGGTTCCGTCCAAGTAGAAGAGAACATTAGCGAGCATCATGGTAGGGTCCCAACGGTGAGTTTGACTGACCCGTTCATAAAGGCGAAGCCATTTGTCGACGTCGAGGCCAGGTTGCGCAGAAAATGTCCCGGGATCACGTGGTGTTTGGACGGCGACAAAGGTTGTCGGAGAAGCCGCAGATGATGAAGCGGACGCGTTGTCACTGGAAGCCATGGCGGAAAGCTGGAGGATGCGGCCACTGCGGAGCTGCGTGGTGAGGACGGGGATCGTTCCACCTCCACCAAATATGTTACGTGAGTAACGAGACAAAGTATTGCGAATATATTCGAAAAATATATTTGCAAGAGCGGTTGCAGCACTGGCCAGTCTGGCTCCGAGCTCGAGCAGCCAGCGAGCCTCATCTTCCTCGTCGGGCGCACACGCGCATTCGCACTATGGTTTGTGGCAGCCTACAGGTAGCAATATGATACTTTATACACTCCTTTTAGTCTTTCTTATAGTGCTTGATTTTAGGCTTCTATACAGCCATAATATAACACCCTGTCAACGTAACCATTTGTCATCGCTGACGCCACGTTAAAAGGCAGGGCACTCTCTGGCCACTCATGGCCACAATGTTCAATGCCATTGGCTTTATTTAGATTATTCTAGGGCCAATGGTATTACAGAGGGGAGTGGGGAAAAATGGACAAAATCGGAAATAATGGGGACAAGATAGTACACAATACCAGTGAAAAGTTAAAGAAATTCCAAATAATTCCTCAATAAATTTCAAAAATATTACAAGTAGGTACACAAATACTAGTAGTATAACAATGAATTAAATACATAAAATGTAAATAATAACTAAAGTGCAAAATTTGGGGTATCAACAAAGGTAGACACTTGATACAAGAAATAATGATTGTGTTTTGTTAAAGAGATAAAGGCAAAAAAGAAAGGAAAGAAAAGAAAGAAAGAAAAATTTGATAGAGATATATATACAGTTTCTTTAAACTGGTTGGTAATCTTGGTGGCGACAACACTTGCAGGAAGGTGATTCCACTCAAGGAAAGGGGAGGGTCCAAAAATGAAATGCCGACCTTGTGTTGGTGATCATTGTGAGATGATACAAAAAAGGATGATGGTATATATTGTATGTAAAAGAGAAGTGTTTAACTCGTGGGACGAAATATTATAATTCTAGCCGAGTCTTCATTAAACCTGTGCGAATGGTCTTGTTGTATATTTGGATAAAATGAATCCTGTGAAATTGTTTGGAATCTTTCCTATTAAATCAATTAATTTATGCAGACTGGTGTCCCAAACTGAGGCTGCATATTCTAGTTAAGGCCGAATAATAGTTTTGTAGAGAATTAGTTTTGAGGGATTGTGATGCACCTGAAAAATTGCATTGTAGATAACCAAGCGATTGGTTGGCTTTGCTGCAATGTGTGGGTTCGACGAAAGGTCGGATAAATGTATATATAAGATCTAGAGGGGTGTTATTTACATGATAGGCTGGTGGAGTGCTAGTATGCCTCATAACGTACATTGCTTTGCATTCACTTATGTTACATCTGCCATATGTTACAGCACGCACTGATAGTAATAAAGCCATTCTGGAGAATGGTTGAATCATTGTTAGAGGTTATTTCGCTAAATATTTCAGTGTCGTGAGCAAAAAAATGATTATTAGATGAAACATAGGAAGGTAAGTTGGAATAATATATCTAATTGATATAAATTAGTTAGATCTAATTATTATAAATGAGAAATAAAGGCCGCCTCAAAACAGAGCCTTGCAGAATGCCTGAGCAAACCTGACTGGAGGGCAAGTCAAAGTTGTTAGTGGAAGCATAACGACAACGATTGGATAAAAAGGATTCAAGCCATGTGAGAAGTTGTGGATTTATGTTAAGCTGGTAGAATATGAAATACTTTATTGAATGCCTTTGAGAAAGGAAAAAATGTGCTGTCTACAAAAGAAGGCATGCAAAAGGTGTTAGATGTGTGTTGCATGAATAAGATTTGCAAAATCTATGCCGAGAGTGTGTGAAAAATGAGTTTGATTCGAGATAAATAAGAAGAATAGAAAACAATACATGCTTGAAACATTTACATGAAATGTTAGTGAGAGAAGTGGGTCAGTAATTGAATGAAGTGTGCATGTTACTTGAATTTTTGCTAGTAGAGCCACCTTCTGGACTGGCGCGTAGTCGTAAAACCTTGATTTCGGGAGGGGCACCGCCTTAGAATGTCCATTTTTCGCTCTTTATGCCATGGCGAAAAAAAAATTTTTGGGGGGGTGTGGCACGTCCCCGGTGTGCCACACCTTGGCTACGCCCCTGCTCCTGGATCTTTCTCATTTTGCCAGAATAAAACCCAGGTCAAGTGATTGGTAAAAAAATTTTTGTTAGTATGATAATATTGTAACCACTGGTGCTTTTCTGATACTTCTGGCTAATTTTGTCGCAGTCAGGGGGAGAAGAAAGCTTCAATTCGACACTTTGTGCCCATCGTATCTGTTAGTATTGGATGCATTAGCGAATAATTATGACACTGCCCGATCGGTGGTAAAACACGTCTCAATAATGAAAAATTGCAAGCAAAGATACTGTTAAGGGCATATGTGCACTTTTCAGAACGTATAATATTTCCTGTGTCATCTATGAGACCTCTAGCATTATCGTCTTTTGGAGTGATGAGAATTTTTTAGTATCACTTTGTAGCGTGGAAGGCAGGGTGTTTCTAAAAAGTTTTCTTTTGCACTGCAAAGTGCAGCAATATATTGATTTGAATCTAGTTTATGCATTTTCCAATGATTAGCACAACAACAATGTTCCACTGATCTGTAGAGACGTTTCTTCTTATTTGACATGTGTTTTATTTGTTTAGTATACCATGGTGTAGATTTGCTTGGGGTTATGAATCGTGACTCATAGTTGGGCTTATGGCATATAATACCCCGAAATGAAGCCGATAAAGGTTTACTGCTGCTGGGCATACTGATGGTGGTTGGCCTGGCACTTTCACACTGCAACGTCACTGCAGTACGGTGCTTTAGTCGCTAAGCACCTTGTGCTCTGATGCACAAAGTCACAGGTTTGTTTTTCAGCCACAGTGGCTACCTTTAGAGCAGATCAAAGGGCAAGAACTTGTGTCTATTGTAATTTGCTGCCCACTGAGGTAATCACAGTTAATACAGATGCCTGTACAACTGCATGACTGGTTTCTTGTTTCTTGTGCATAAATTTCTAGAATTAAGTCTTCGTGTTTTCGTTCTTCTACACATACTTTCTCTAAAAGAAACATCTCTTTTCGAGTCTGATTTCTTGAGTAAGTTGATCATTCATGTGGAGACAATCACAGCTCGGAAAAAAAAAAAAAAAGAACGGACAAAAGGGCTCAGTGGATGAAATGCTTTTTACTTTCATGTCTTCACTTTTGTCTGCACCTTTTCTGCACTCTAAATTTATCTCTTTTGGCTTTACTACCCTTATAATGAGCTCTATAGAATATGGAAACTAGGTATGCTAGCTTTTGAGCCTACGTACCTTCAGAAGGATAGAAGGGCATCTGAACACAATGTACACAAAACGGTTTTAAATTGCCATGAATTGCATTTGGTAATTCCTTGTACATTGGATTCATGGGAATTCTGGGAAGGGTACAGTTTGATACATTCATTTACTCAGAGTGCACTTTAAAAATGCATTGGGTTCTCACACCACTGTGTTAATTTCACCAGGGGAGAGTCTGCATTGGCAAGCAAGCAACCTTTGCGGTCAGTGCTGCTGGCTTGTCGCAACCCAGGTTCCCACGAAGATGACGCCAGCCTCAGGTGTGTGGGGCTTCTTATGAAGGGTGAAGCACCTTATGGTCGAGCCTTGTCCCTCTGATGTCCTGGCTTGACGATGGCTTGACGATGATCGCGGGTGCGCTTGTGGCACGCTGTTTCTTTTGCTGCGGCGCCCTAACAGCTCCCGGATTTCTCTCTCATTGTCATGGAATGCACTTCCTTATGAAAGAAAGACTCCTGGAGCTTTGCCCACTCGCCATCATTCACTTCATAGATGTGCTGTGATATATTTCTTTTGTGTTATCACATGTACAATTAGATGAATAATCTAGGTAATGTTCAATAATACGCAAGAAGCTCAGGCTATTATGCTTTTTTTTATTTGTACCCTCGAGACTAAGATATCATAGAGGACAGCAGAGGAAGGAACTTCCAAAAATAAATAAATTACAATGAATTGAGAGATAATTAGCTAATTGAAGTGATGATGTCTGCTACAGCTGAATAAAGCTTTGCATTGTCTCTGAAAAGAACAGACAATGAAAGCAGAACTTTAGGTCTGAAAATTAATGCTGATCTCTAGTATGCAGAAAATTGAGCTGCAACAGTCTGGAAAAAGAACAGATGATGCAAGCAGAACTAAAAGTCTGAAAATAAAGTATTATGTGAAAAATCAAACTAATGCAGTGGCGGTCCAACTGTCTCGATTGCAGCATTTTTCTGCAATCCCATATCCCTGCGCCCTGCGTGAACATACAAGTAAAGGTTGCACCAACTGTGCCACTTTTCACTAGCCCATCTGTTAACAAGACGTGAGACTGTTTCTGGCCCCAAAATATTCTTGGTCTGGCAACACACACACTTTGTATAATGCTGCCCCAGCTGCCCCATGATGCCCTCAACTTGCTTCATTTCAGTGATGCTCTTTTTGCCATTATGTTATCATTCGTGAAAAAGAAAGGCTTCGGGCAAAGAATATCATGTACTCACAGTTACACAGGTCAGTGACGCAACACCCCCAAAAATACTGATTGAAAGAGCGGTGTCCTAAAGGACTTTTTCATTTGTTTCTCCTGCACGCGGGCTCGTGCTCGCTGCAGCTCATCGCCAAGTCGCTTTATTCCCACACTGAAAAAAATAAGCATCGTCCTGGCGCTCGCGCAAGTGGTAGTGCATAAGTGAAAAAAAAAAAAACAAAACAAAAAAACAAGCATACTATGGGCACATTAAAGAAGAAAAAACGACAAAGTAATGATTCTGGGGCACGGTCGGACTAACGGGGGAAATACTACTTGAGTCGTTTAATGTGAACAATCTCTAGGTAGTGTTTTTGAAGCTGGGACGACGTGGTTTCATCTGGGACAACCTCATAGTTCACATCACTCACACGAAGCACCGCTTTGTGGGGTCCAAAGTAGCGACTCAGGAGCTTTTCGGACAACCCCTTAGTGGCGAACCGTCATAATTGTGTGGCAACATAGCATCTAGCATGGTCTGGACCTCACATTCACAGACAAGATGGAACGGTGCAACTGTGTCATTTCTTGGATAGCAGTGTTGTACACAAATGTAATGTATAGTATTACTCATAGGTGTATCAGCTGGGGGGGGGCAAGGGGGCGCCCCTTCCCCTGAGAAAAGTTGGGGAGGGCTGAGCTCCCTCACTTTCGACAGTGGTCTCTCTTGGCTGCACGCTGGGAAAACCAACAAGTAAGGCGTAGTTTTCCATCACAACAGTAATCACTAAATTATGTTCTTATGGAAGAATGAAACTGTTATAACATAGCGAAAATTTGCCAACATTACTGCTGTGATTATTTTCTTGTAGGCTCTTATATATATATATATATATATATATACACACATACATACATACATACCCCGGCTGACATGACAAGTCAGGCAGGTTTGCCCCCTCTCCCACTGGGGAAAGAGTTGGTACGCCACTGGTAGGACTTAATCCCACGTTTTGTGCTGAATGTTCACATACATGGATAACGTATTGGTGATGTTCTTGTTCAGTCGCTCCGTCAAGCCGTTAGTCTGCGGGTGATACACCATCGTCTTGCGATGGCTCATAAAGCATAGTTTGAATACATCGTCAATGAGCTGAGTCGTGAGAGCTGTTCCTCAATCAGTGATCAAGCAAGACTGGGCGCCATGGCAAAAAATGATCTGGTCGACAAAAAAATGGGCAACATCGGAAGCTGTAGCTCGTTTAATGGCTCATGTCTCAGCGTATCTTATTAGATAATGTGTCGCTAGAACTATCCACTTGTTACCGGAAAATGACAGAAGAAACGGCCCCAGTAAATCTATTCCTATTTAATCGAACGGCGACCTTGGTGGTGTGATCGGTTGCAGGAGGCCTACAGGCTTCAGTGGTGGAGATTTGTGGAGTTGACATTCACGGCAGCTTTTCACATATCGCTTGACGTACATAGCAAGTTTCGGCCAGTAGTACACCTGTTGAACTCTGGTGAGTGTTCATGAAGAACTTAGATGACCGGATGTGGGTTCATCGTGGCAGGCCAAAAGAATGTCGTCTCGCATGTCGTAAGGGATCGCTAGCAGGTAGGCTTTCTCATTGCCACTCGAGTTTGTTTTGTACAAGACATGATTTCATAGTGAGTGCCCTACCTCTGCTCCGGGGGTTAGTCAGCCAAAATTCGCAGGACATGAGCCAGCAACGCTGAGAACAAGAGCCGCCTTTAATTTACGATTCAAAAGAAACACAACCGACCTTCTGGACTGGTACAAAACAGCACTAGCGCACACAGGAGAACCGAAAACCCAAAACAAACAATCCCCGCAGACTGGCGGTCTATAGAACATATTCAGCAAAACAACGGCAAGAAAGCCAGTTCGAAACATGACAACAGAAAAGTAAACTCACATGTAACACGCCGTAAAATATGGGCCGTTGGCTCGCCTTATAGCCGACGCCCCCAAAACCGGCAAGGGCTCGCCTCTAGCACGCACGGAGGAAACATCTCTCACGCTAGGTGTGAGAGGTGTTTCCTCCGTGCGTGCTACAGAGGCGAGGCGTGAGGGGTGTTTCCTCCGTGCGTGCTAGAGAGGCAAGCCCTTGCCGGTTTCGGGGGCATCGTAGACAGCCCCTTGCCCCTGTAGCACGCACAGAGGAAACACCCCTCACGCCTAGTGTGACTGACGCCCCATCCCATCGCTTGCCTGCTACCAAAAAGCCCCCGGGCTCGTCTCACACCCCTCCTTATCCGCCAGCCACTTTTCCACCCCCTGAGACTTATTTTGAATGCTGACGCTTGTTCCGCGCATGTGCAATGCGCATGTTCTCTCCTCACCCTTCTTCCACCGTGCGTGCTGCAGATAAGGGCCCATTGGCCCAACAGTAGGCGGAACAAAGAGAGATTCTGAGAAAGGTGTCGAGGTATGGGTGTAATGCGTCCTTCTAGATTGTATATTTTTGCGCGAATCTGGACTTTATTGGGCTGTTGTGTAATCAAGTCAGTTGCTGTGAGGACTCCGAGGCAGCCGCTGTCATCTTAATTGTTTGGATCACAAGCTACAGTAGGTGCACAGGACAACGAATCAGCATCTTCGTGCTTTCGGCCTGTTTATTAGCGATGGTAAGGTCAAATTCTTGCAAAGGAAGATTCCATTGTGCCAAAAGCCCAGACGGGTCTCATAAATTAGCCAACCAGCACAATGAATGATGATTGGTCACTACTTCGAAGTGACGACCGTAGAGGTAAGGCCCGAATTTCATGGTGGCCCACAGTACTGCAAGGCACTCATTCTCTGAAGAGGAATAGTTCATCTCGGCGTGAGACAGTGTACGACTGGCGTAAGCTATTACTCGCTTGGTGCCTTTTTTATGATGGAAAAGCACGGTGCCAAGACCTATATTGCTCGCGTCGGTATGAACTTCGGTGGCACCATCCTCGTCAAAGTCAGCAAGAACTGGTGGTGCCTGCATACGCTCACGTAGATCAATAAAAGCTGCATTCTGTTCTTCATTCCAGACGAATAGTACGTCGTCACATGTTAGACGTTGGAGGTTCGGCACTTCTAGAAAAATTGGCGATGAAGCGACGATAGTAGGCTAGGTTCTTTATAGCCAAAGTGGCATTTTTCTGACTTCAGTGTAAGGCTCATAGAGCGGAGCGCTTCGAGAACAGCCTGCGGACACTTCAAGTGTTCCTCGAAGGTGACCGAAGACACGACATCATTGAGATAAACTAGGCAGGTGTTCCACTTCAGAACAGTAAGGACAGTGTCCATCATTCTTTGGATTATTGCTGGTGCGGAGCACAGGCCAAAGGGGAGCACCTTGAATTGATACAGACCATCCGGTGTAACAAAAGCAGTTCTTTCTCGGTCTTCGTCATGAACCTCAATCTGCCAGTATCCGCTTTTCAAGTCTTGCCCGTCGTGGTCTGTCTAGTGAATAATTGATGCATGGCAGAGGTACACGTCTTTTTTAGACATGCCATTAAGCTTTCTGTAGTCAACGCAGAAACGCAACGTCCCGTCCTTTTTCTTTACAAGAACGACTGGCGATGACCACAGATTATAGGACGGCTGTATGACATCATCCTGGAGCATTTATTCAACTTGAGCATTGATCGCGTCACGTTCTTTGGCCGAAACTTGGTAGGGTTGTTGCTTTATGTGTGAGGCATCAAGGTGCGTAATAATTCGTTGTTTTGTAAAGGGCATTTGGTGCACCTTTGAGGACAAAGTGAAGCACTCTTGGAATTTAGGCAACAGTTTCTACAGCTCTGCGCGTTCTTGCTTTGTGAGGGTTGAATTGATGTCCACCTTTGCAAGAGCTGTAGAAATTGCTGTTGATGTTGATTGTAGCTCGCTGTTCATTGATGTGGCGGCAAAACATTCAGCAAGGTCTTCGATGGGGTAGGCGTAAGGGATAGCAGTGCGACAAAAAAAGTGCCACTGCTCATTACTAAAGTTTGTCAAAAGCAGCGTGGCACATCTGTCAAAAGCAGCATGGCACCGGGGAAGAGGCATGGACATGGTGGTCGTACACAGCTGACTGCTGCTGCAGCATGTTTTCCATTGTCGTGGCTTCAGTTAAAAACTCGGCCACAGTCTTTGGGAGACTTCGGATCAAACCAGCGAAGAGCTGCTCCTTAACTTCTCGCATTAGGTGCCGCACCTTCTTGTCTTCTGCCATACCCGGGTCAGCACCACAGAGAAAGCTCGTCATGTCCTCCACGTACATGATCACGCTTTCGTTCAGCATTAAAAGGCGTGATTGTATGGCCCGCTCCGCTCGTTCATGGAGATGGGGGTCGGCGTAACTTGCCAGCAGCTGATGGCAGAACACCGTCCACAATGAGAAGGGTTCAGGGTTCTCGTACCAAGTACGAGCACCATCCTCAAGGCTGAAGCATATATTTCGCAGCTTGTTGGCATCGGTCCACTCGTTAAAAGCAGCAATGTGTTCAAAGTGAGCCAACCAGTACATGACATCATCTAAACTGAAGCCGCGGAACACCCTCGGCACCTGTTGCTTTTGCAGCGTTTATTTAGTCGTTGGAGTACTTTCCGTACCTGTCTGTGGTGGTGCAATTGACTTCATCTCCTCTAGTGGTTTATGCTCAGGGGGAGGCAATGCTCGATTTTCCGGCTGGCCGGGTGCACAGGTGTTGTGACAGCAGCTACAGGGCTTACCAGGAGACGTTTGGATCATTGGCAAGGAATACGTGGCACTTCCACCAGTTGTCACGTGTGAAAAAGAAGGGCTTCGGGTAAGGAGTACCGCATAGTCACAGCAACACAGGTCAGTGACGCGAAACCACAAAAAAGCCGAGCGAGAGGGGGCGCTGTCCCAAGCGACTTCTTTGTTTCTCCTGGATGTGGGCTCGTGCTCATCGCAGCTCATGGCCAGGTGGCAGACCAAGTGCCACGGCACGTGTCTCTGTTGCTCAAAGTTAAGCATGCTGCCCATGCTCTCTCATATTTCAGTGAAGCGGCGGTAGCTCATAAAAAAGTGACTATTTGACTGTCCACATACTGTTGCGTCTCAAGAAAAATAAATGCATGATGCAGCACTTTCATGTGGCTATTGTGGGGCCTGCAAACACCTGTCATGCAGGCAGACAGCTCTTGTTAGCCTTTTTAAGGATAAAGTGCCAGTACCTAACATTCGAGTGCCATGCAGGCAGAGAGCTCTTGTTAGCCTTTTTAAGGACCAAGTGGCAATATCCAACATTCGAGTGCCGCGCCCCGATGCACAAACCAGGTTCTTAGCAAAATTATTGTTTTTTCTATTGAAATATACCAATATAAAATGCCTGGTGATCAGATGTGTGGTAATCTGTAGGCAAGTCTGCAGCCCTTCAATACAGTTGTTTGTGTGTCATCTTCAAAGCGGGAAAGGAAGAAAAATGCCACCGGTGGGTCCCCCTTATTGAAAACAGCGCGTTTCAGCATCACGGAAGCTTGAGTGCACGTATTCTAAGGCGCTGATCCACTGTGGAGAACTAGTTTTTTATGGTATATAGGCGGGCATTTAGAACTGATGCAAGGTTGTTCTGAATTAATGATGCTAGCATTAATTATATGATGGGTTAGGGGATAATGATGCTAGCATTAATTATATGATGAGTCAGGGGATTTAGATATAATTTTGGTATTATCAGATGCAAAGGTACAAATAACAGTAAATAACTCGCAAAAAACATTATCGCTGTCAGGGGTCTTTTCAGGAAAACGCCTTGCTTAGCAAAAAGCAGATTCCGGCACAGGTGTCTGCTTGAGTTGTCACTTATCCTTTGTTGTTTCAGTTAGAGCTCATATATTTACAGTACTAAATTACCTGTATTGCAGTGGTGCTGTGGAGGTGCGTCACCTGCCACCAGGAGTGTTGGTGCAGCTTTTGCCTCAAGACGAGAACCACTTTCACCTGGAAACAGCCGATAGCCAAAGTGTGCTTTCTCTTTATGTCCAGAAGGACTTCAGGTAAATGCTCGTCCACAACAACCATTTGGGCAGCCAAATGAACATGACTGCTGGCTCGGTTGCTTTTCTTGAAAGCATCAGAGACAGTCCACATTGACAGCTTAAAAAAGGGGATTGTAAAGCTCCAGTTGTTTTCCTTGTGGAACATGTCTGGGCAGTGTGGTGGTACCTCATTTCATAAAGCAGAGGAAAACCAGTAAATTTGTTATTTCTTTGACTTCTTTAATGTTGAAATTAATGAAAAACTGAATGTGACTCATATATAAAGACATATATAGAGGCATGTGTTTACGAGCAGATCACCGTACTCAAGAGGCTTGAGCTATACCACTCAAAAGGGTAATGTTAAAGGCAAGCATGTAGCCAGGAATTTTTTCCAGTATTTGGGAGACGAGTTGTTTGACCATACTTTGTATTGTTGCGCTGCAATGTTTATTTGGGGCTCGAATATGTAGCCAGGCTAACACGTGTGGCCAAGCACAAAGAGAAAGGGTATGCCTTGCGCCAAGTAACCAAAATGCAGAACACTTCTGTGCATGGCTGATCACATGGCAGCAAATAACCTTCGTTTTGAAAAACCACAACAAAAAAGCATCACTTTACGAACAATGTTCAAGACACTTGGTTAAAGTAATGGTCAGCTCTTTTCAGAAGAAGAGTGGCTGCTTGCTTGCCCACCTGCAACTTGGTTGTCAGCTGCACTTGATCACTAGTGAAAAACAGCACTATAAAAACAGGCAAGAAAGAGCAAGGAACCACAGCGCTGACAAACAACTTTTAGATGTGGTTTAGATGCGAAGCATCTCTTTGACTTACGTGTGTAACGTCGTACGTATGTCTGTACACAGGCCCGGCAACGCATTCCTCTCGTGGCATGTGTTGTAGCGGTGCCAAGTAGGTCAAGTCGTAGCTGCGTGTTGACGTCACTCTCTGCCTCACCAGCAGCTGCCGGCTCCTCCGTCCACTCGCAACACACTTCTTTCTTGCTTCACCCTCTCCATCGCCTGCAACACTCGACTGCACGTCGAGTGAAAACACTGTTTCAGCTCGTTTACCTGCGATGAAACTTACACAAAACCCAACCTTCCTCCCATGTTTTTGCGTTTCAAACATTTACTCGAGTAAACACTACGCCAAGTTGTGCTTCAAAACGTTCTTCCAGCACCCGCGCGAACGCCCGTTTCAACCGAGTTGACACCCTGTGCACCGCTGCTACTTTGCATGCCATCGGGGTTCCCTTCAGGAAGATGGTCCATAATTTTATTCCTTCAGTCAGCATATAGATAGTACTTCACCACTATCACAATGAAAAAATAGAAAATTGAAGACTCAGTCTGTGCAGAGGCAATGAGGTGGTCAATGGGTCATGAATTCTGTCTCCTTCAAAAGGACGGGTGGAAATCGAGGGAAGGCTTACTCATGCCTCACCGCTCTTGTGTATGTGATAAGCTTCTTAAATGAGATGTATGTGTTTGTCATAGTATTTTCACTAGTGAGTGGTATCCTTAAAAATATTGGTGGCAACCACATTTGTTATAATAAAGAGATAGTTGATTATCTGTAGCTTGTTTTTTGAACCTTGTTCAAGTGTTCTAACATTAGGTAGGTGGAAGTGCTTCTGAGAATAATGTTGTCAAGTCAGATCTCAGGTCAGTGATAGCTCCATGGTGACCCTGGAAGTTAATTTCAATTGAAGTATCAAGTGGCAATATCCAACATTCAAGTGCCATGCAGGCAGAGAGCTCTTGTTAGCGTTTTAAGGATCAAGTGGCAATATCCAACATTCGTGTGCCGTGCCCCAATGCACAAACCAGGTTCTTTAGAGCAATGTTGTAGGATTACAAGACTCGCAGGATAAGCCCGGTTGTTAATGATGGCTTTTGCTGTGCAAACTCCAATCAGCATTACTGATCCACCGTTTTCCTGCAGTTTCTGAATTCCAGGCCCTTTTCTAGCAGTTTTAACTTCCTTCAACTTTGTAAGGAACGACGACACACTGATGATGCAATAGTCTGCCTCTCTGTGGATGAGAGTAGTGACGTCATGACTGTTAATGAGAACATCGATGTCGGTTGTCGTTGTCATGCATTGTGGTTCGACAACAGCGTCGAATCACGTTATTTTGTGCTACTGCTTAAACGAGCTGTTGTCAGGCTTTCTTCCTGTTGCAAAGTTTTCTCGTTTGGGTTTCATTTGGCATGCAGCATGTTCACAAGACTCTGAAAAAGCATCGGCAACAGAGGATCTTTAGTATTTTGTTGTACAGGAACTGCAGCTCGGTTGCTGGTTTTCTGGCTATGGGCTCGCAAAACGGCCTATGTTAGGGTTGTGTGCTGCTATCATCACTCAGGGGACTGGTAGAGTCTGTGTGCCAGCGAATGCGATGAACGTCGAGCTGTCCGTTCAATGGTGGCCAAGTAGTTGGTGATGACATAAGGTCACTCACCACGTTGTGGACATGGTGCGTTCACAGCAAAGCCACATAGGCCCATCTAACATTACTGGCCGTGGTGGTAGGTGTGGCCGTCCTCTTCCTGGGTTAGCAAAGCGAGTGATTATCAGGAGCAAGCCAAACGTTGGCTCTTCTTGGCGCACAGTGCTGACGAACAGGCAGACACTGTGGCTGTAGTGGGGGTAGCAGTATCTGGCGACAGTGGTGTGGCATCTTGGCATGAGCGCGGAGGGGAATGTCGCGTTAGGCTACAGAAACGTAGCTTATTTATTTATTTATTTATTTATTTATTTATTTATTTATTTATTTATTTATATATATATATATACCTTAAGGGCCTTTAGGGCATTACATAAGGGCTCTTTCATACAGTAATCATTGACAACAGCAATTTTTAACAAGAAAAGAAGACAAGAAAACATGTGCAGGATACACAGTCTGTCAACCAAGATAATCAAGAAATAACACAGCAAGGTTTTCACAAGCGAGCACATTGAAAAAGCTGCACGACACGTTATACACCTATGCCTAAGATTGTCCAACACATTCAAGGTACGCAAATAATGCAGACTGGAAAGATGATTGCTGTGTATGCATTACAATACTGGCAGGCAGAGCGTTCCACTCGGTTATCGCTAAGACAAGGGGTGAGTATTGATTTTTTTTGTGTGAGAAAATATGGGTTCAATTTTTTTATCAAGATCACCGCGTGCGGAAATGTACAAAGCAGGGTGAATGAACGTATGGCGGAACAGCGAATCACTGTGGTATAATTTGTGGAAGAAAGATAAGCGAAATATTTTCTGCGCCTGGCAAGAGGAAGGAGATTTAAGTTTTTCTTAATGAATGACACACTTTCATAGCGGGAATAACGTAACAAAATAAATCACGCGGCTTTGTTTTGGACAGTTTCGAGCGTATCAATAAGGTTTGCTCTGTGGGGATGCCATACTACAGAAGCATATTCTAGGGTTGGCCGCATAACAGTATTGTATTATTTATTTTTTTATTTATTTAGCAATACTGCTAGCCCCAACGTGGGGCCATAGCAGAGTAGTGGGTGTACATAGTACAACAAAATCAACAGTACAATACTGCAGTCAACACAGAACAAAGCACTTCAAACAACATAAAAAATGTTTCACGTGAAAAAAAAAAAATAGCTAGTCAGATATAAATTTTTCAAATGCCTCGATACTGGCTGTTTCAATAATTTTGCTGTCAAGCTCATTCCATTCTTTGGCAGTGCGCGGGAAAAAGGAATACTTGAAAGTATTATTATTGGGCTGGAAAGGAACGACAGTGTGTTTGTGACGTTGTCTGGTAGAGTAACCGGAAGAGAACTTTAAGTATTCACCTGTGGTACTATTTATTCGACCATTAACTATCTTAAAGAAGAACAACAAACGGGAAATTCTATTTCTTTCTGAAGTCCGTTTGAATCCCGCTTTGGCAACTAATTCAGAGACTGACGTTGGGCCGTATTTCTTAAAAATAAATCGGACAGCCTTGTTTTGGATTTTATCTAGTTTATGGATATTGACATTGGTGTAAGGATCCCAGATAATGTTTCCATAATCAAAAATGGGTTGGATAAGAGATTTGTACGCCAGAATTTTAGTGTCGTATGACGAATAGCGAAGAGAACGTCTCAAAAAATGTAATTTCATCATTGCATTATTAGATATGTAGTTGATATGTCGATCCCAGTGGAGGTTGCTACATATATGCAAGCCTAGATACTTGTACTCTGTTACTCGATTTAGGATATTTCCATCAGCTGTGTAATTGTAAACAAGGGGACACTTCTTATTTGTTATCGACATGGCCACACTTTTTTGATAGTTTACACACATTTGCCAAGAATTACACCACTTCATGAGTTTCTCAATTTCTGTGTTAAGCTTTACTTGGTCTTCAACTGTGTGAATAAGAGAATACAACGCACAATCATCAGCATATAATCGTATTTTAACACTGCAATTATCAACAATATCATTAATGAACACCAAAAACAACAACGGGCCAAGCACAGAGCCCTGGGGAACCCCTGAGCCAACAGGTAACATGTTTGAGGGAGTGTCTTTAAAAACAACGTATTGCTGCCGTGATGTTAGATACGATGTAATCCAGCTACACAGTTTCCTGTTTTTTAATAATGTGTTCAGTTTAATGAGCAATTTAGAATGGGAAATCTTGTCAAATGCTTTAGCAAAATCTAAAAAAATTACGTCTATCTGTTTTCTCTCATTAATAGCTGCGGCGAAGTCATGTGTCGTTTCAACCAGTTGAGTTACAGTAGAAAAGCCGTGACGGAACCCATGTTGCATTGGTGTTAATATTGAGTAATTTTCCAAGAAGAGCGTAATATGCTTATGAATAAGATGCTCGAGAATTTTACAACACGTGCATGTTAAAGCTATAGGTCGATAGTTAGAAATAAACTGCTTATCGCCATTTTTAAACAGTGGTTTTATTTTGCAAATTATTCAGTCATCAGGCAAAGTACCCGTCAAAAGGGATGTACGGTAAATAATTAACAAAAATT